GAAATGTTTGCGATAGGAACACAGAGCATTTGGCTTTGAAAATCACCTATAGAAACCAAGTCCAGCAGGTGCAAGGGGCATATTAGGGGACCATCTAGGAAAGATTCTGGTAACATGCTCTTCTCCATTACACATTTGTGAAAATGAAGCTTGGGCACATCCAATGAATATAGGACTTAGGAACCTCGACCTGCATTGGACGGCCATCATAATAGAGGGTGATTCTAGAAATGTAATCACTTGGGCTCAAAAGGAGAGGATTTTCCACAGGTGTCTAAACTCTAAACGATGTTTTTGAAAAGATATGGGATAGCCTAGCAATGATCAGAAACTTATTACCGCAAACATGGAGAGAGTAGTATGAAGATTCCGATGCATTGGCAAAGGAAGGAATAGAAAGGCCATTTTTTATTGTTTTTTTTTTATAATGTTAACGTTTGTATTGCTGAGAAAGGGAAGTACAAGGTTTTGTAACTCCGGGTGAACCCACTAGACGGGACCCCCGGTTAAAAAAGGAAAAAAACCCTTGTACGGTAAAAGGCTTTCCCCCCTATAAAGGATACACAAAAATGAGACAAAGGAAAGGGCTTATAAAAATGCCCCCCTTCTGTAGTACAATGAGAAACTAAAAAAGGACCACAATAATACAAGGGGTTCACTGGTCCAGAGTAAAAAAGAAAGTGGAACCAGTGTGGGCTGCCTCGCCCTGTCTTCTAGCACCCTCCTTCGCCAGCCGGTCCGCAAAGTCATTGGACATCCACCAAGTATGCTGGCATGAGACGTCCATAGCCATGCAGAGTTGTTGAACTTCATCAAACACTTGTATCAAGCACCAAGGAGGAATACAAGTCCTACTAGCCCAAGAGATGACATTCTTGGAGTCACCCTCCACTATCAAGCTTGAGCCTCAAGAGGAGTTGAAATTTTTGAGGGTAATGAGGAGGGCTGAGCCTTCAGCAAAGTTAGAGTCCTTGATGCCGAGGTATTCGGAGAAGGTGAGGAGGATATTGCCTTCAAAGTCTCGGGAAACACCACCAGCCCCTGCTGGGCCGGGGTTCCCCAAGGAGCACCCATCAAAATTAAGTTTGATGCATCCTTGGCTCGGTGGTAACCAGAGACTTGGCCTAGCAGCCCCTTGTGGTTGGTGAAGAAGGATATTTCCCTAATGTGGAAGGAAGAAGGAACCAGGAATACCGGCAAAGAACTTCAAGTTGGATGCCCAAAAGGTCACCAGGGTGATAACCTTTTGAAAAATGGTCGAAATTGAAAGCTTTGTCTCTCGAAATATTCTAGAATTTCTTTCCAACCAAAGTAGTCAAATGGTAGCAGCCAAGGTTGCTTTCCACAGGATTCTACGAGCGTTAGGCCAGCTTGATTCAAGATTGGAGGATAGGAGAGCTGTTACCGAGTATGGGGTAACCCATTGTAAGGCAAAAAATTGTAAAACCTTGCCCCATAGGTCTGATGAGAATGCACAAAGCAGGAGCAAATGGGGATTTGTTTCCTCCTCGCATTCACACAAGACACACCTATTCGGAATGGGCACGCCTCTTCTTTGTAGTTGGTCAACTGTGAGGGCTTTTCTAGAGTAGGCAAGCCAGTTGAAGGCTTGAACTTTTGGTGGAGCAATAGTGGACCAAATTTTAGAAAAGTTCTCGAATGGGGGGGGGGGGGGAAGGAGGAGAGGTTTTTGTATAGTGAAGCCACTGGCCATTGAGAAGTTACCCAAGGGGGTTAAGGTCCAAATGATTTCATCATTTCCTTGTGAAGAGAAAAAGAGATGGTGCAGAGAGTTCAGAAGACACTGGAAATCAGTCGTCTCAACCTCGTTAAGGCTCCTTCTAAAGGAAGGATTCCAAAATCTGTGACCTCCCACGGTGAAAAACTCCTGTGCCACAAAGGACTCTTGGTTTCGAGCAAGAGCGAAGAGAGTTGGGAAGGGCTCACAGAGGGGGCAAGTCCCTAGCCACAGTTTAACTCTCGTCCCTTCTCTCGGGTGGAACCTAATGTTTCTCTTGAAAGAAGACAGGACAATCAAGAGTGACTTCCATGCCCCTGAGGTATTTTGGGCTTGAACTCTTTTAGAGAGCCAATTTTCAGGCGGGGTCTTGTATTTGTGTTTTAAGACCTGCGCCCAAAGGGCGTTCGGCTGAGTTGCTAAGCGCCACCACCATTTCCCAAGTAACGCTGCATTCTGTATGCGCAATACCTTTATCCCAAGACCTCCTTGCTCTTTTGGTTGGCAAACCTTGTTCCAGGCCAGGTGGTATCACTTCTTGTCTTCCTTCCCAGACTGGAGGAAATTCCTCATGAGTTGGTTTAGGCGATTCGCCACCTGAGCAGGCATTTGGTAAAGGGACATGAGGTAGATTGGGGTGTTTGCTAGGGTGGCTTTTATCAAGATGGTTCTTCCAGCAAAGGAGAGGTATCTACCCTACCACTTGGCTAATCTACGATCGACCTTGTCCAGCACAGGGGACCAAAGCTGCTTTTTGGTTTATCAACACCCAAGGGAAGGCCAGGTAGGCAGTAGGCAGGTTTTGGACTTTACAATCCCAGTCTGAAATGAGATCCCCAATTTGGCCAAGTGTTAACGCTACCCCCAACATGCAGGATTTATCCATGTTAATCTTGAATCCAGTAGCAGATTGGAAACAACTACGGAAAATCTTCATATTTTTTGCTTCACTAGCTGTAGCATCTAGGAAAACTAAAGTGTCATTCGCGTATTGTAGGTGAGTGATTGTGGGCCCTTGTCTGCTAGATTTAAACCTTGTGATAAGGCCATCTTGGTAGACCCGAGCAATGGACTGGCTAAAAACTTCAGCCGCTATATCGAAGAGGAAAGGAGAGAGGGGATCTCCTTGCCTAAGACCCCTTGATGAGGGGAAGTAGCCTACAGGGGCTCCATTAAAGAGGATGGAAAAGTGAGGGTTCGAGTAACAACCCCTCATCCAATTCCTCCATCTCTCCCTAAAACCCATTTTGGCCAAAGTTGCGTCCAAAACTGACCAGTCCACATGGTCGTATGCCTTCTCCCAGTCAATTTTAAAGATGGGGCTTGGTTGTTTTGAGATGTGTCTGGAATGGGCACATTCATGAGCCACAAGAGCCCCATCCAAAATTTGTCTAAGGCAGATTGAGAGTGAGAAATGATAGAAGGCAAAACATGTTGCAGCCTAGACGCTAAGACCTTCGCCAGGATCTTGTAGGAGAAATTGAGGAAACTGATAGGCCAAAAGTCTTTAATTTCCTCAACTCCATTTTTGGGCACCAAGGCTAGGAAAGTGGCATTCATGGCTTTATTTAAGATGCCCCTATGGAAGAATTCCTCAAAGAATTTGATGAAGTCCTGACTGACTACATCCCAATACTCCTTGAAGGGGGCAATCGGGTAGCCATCAGGCCCAGGGTCCTTGTCGCTTGCTAGAGCTTTGACCGCTTTAAGAATCTCAGGTTTAGAAAAAGGTCACTCTAATCAAGCTGCTTGGTCTTCATTGAGAGAAAGGAGATGTTGATTGAGGCATAGGGACAGGAGATTCTTCAATTAAAATTGACAAGGCCATTTTTAATCTACACACACTAGACTTTATAATGGACCATTTTTTTTAGTCATAAAGAAAGGAGATTCTATGACTAAAAATAGGGGTCCATTATAAAGTCTAGTGCATGTAGATTAAAGTCTAGTTTATATAGACTCAATTTTTTAGATGTGTCTTGTTTTATATGAAGCTAACTGTATAATATTAACATAAAAATGTGTGTTGCTTTATGTTAACTATGTGCACAAAAGAGAGAATAAAAAATTCAGGCCTACTAGGAGCCAATGAAAGTAAACTCAGACATAGGAGAAGTGGCCAAGAGACAAGAGACAGTGAGTAGGAGGTGAATCAATTGCCAATAGTCACTGTAAATTGTACAAAATGGCCAAGAGAGGAAAGTGGTGGCCCACTTGGGATTGACTATGTAGAGTTGTTGATCTCTAGGCTTTTGATCATTGCTGCTTTTTGGTCAAACTGGTCTGCGAGAGTGTTGGCTTCACGCTGTACATGCTGAAAGGAGATGTTGATTGAGGCATTTAGTTGGATGGTTTCTATGAATACCTGGTCCAATCTCCCAGAATAGATGGACTTCCTGTCTGCCGAATTGATAATATTTGAATCCCCCTCATCACTAGGACTGGGCCCCACCAAGCTAGGAAAAGCTTGAGTCCTTGGAAGAGTACTGAAGCTTTGGCCATTGTTGGGGTGGCCCTGAGAAGGACAAAATCATTTACTCATGTCTGTCTTTGAAGACTCCTCCCACCCGTACTGGGCTAGGGTTCCAAGTAACGAACCATTGTAATTTAGCTTGATGGGAGCTTGGTGTGGGGGGTTGCATTGGGACGATCTAGTGGAGGGATTATGGTAGCCCCCAATTTAACAGAAAAAAGTCTCAGAATGCTGGCAATTTCATTGACAAAATCCGGAAGAGTCTCAGAATTTTCTCTTTGCCTTCAACAATTCTTCTATTACATTCTAGCTAAAGTTTCTATTATAGTGCAAGAGCAGACACTCTCAAAGGCGCAGACGGGTAGTGGTAAATAGTGGTGAGAAGAAAGCAAGGAAGACCTGTGATTTTCAGGAATCCATTTAGTGATGTGGCCACCGGTGGTTTTCTGACATTGAAATTGCCTCCAACGCACAATGGTTTAGGGCATGAGAGGCCACCTAGCCTAGTTCAACCCAGAACTCCTGTCAGAGAGCAGGGCATGTTGGGTAGTGCACTGTAGTGCTCTTCTATTCAACACTATCTACTAACACTGACAACTGAGCATGAGAGAGTACCTTTGGCAGGATACAGTTTAAAGAAGGAACTCTGACGTTTTGGAGATGAGTTTATACATGTACATCAATTTTTATAACTCATGGATAATGTTTCTTAAATCATTGTTTTATCTTTTGTCTCTTTTCTTAATTTATTGGTCTAGACAATTCCTTTAACATGGTGCATATTTGCAGAGGGCTGTAAGTCTTTGTATTGTGCATTTAATCAGCAAAGTCTTGGTGGGTGATGTCAAGTATTTGACTCTGCCGTTTACAGCCAAGATAAGGATGATATACACAAAGGTACTTTTGATGCTTTGTTTTGTAAAGACCACTTATGGATTGTGTTTATTGTTTCAAAAAGCATAACACAAAGTGGAATACACTGGGATTACTATATATATGCTGAATTTTATATGTTGAAAGGATATAAAAGCACCATTACCCTCTTGAGGGAGTATGATGACTTTTTTTACATGCCTCATGAGAAAAACTATCACCTAGAAGACCTGATAAAAACCAAACTATATCAATTACCACATAGCTCTCTTTCATAATCCTTGTTCTTAAAAATGTGCCACTCACTTCAAATTAATATCGGCCTTTCAATTTATTTATTTTTGCAACATGTACCCTAAGTTTTTTCTCTCCTTAAACTAAGACCAATTCATTTCTTTCCAAAATGCCAGGTTTGTTTCTTCTTATTCATTGAATTTTTCTTTTCTTTTCCTGATTTGGTTTCTTCTCTTTATGGAAAAGTACATATAGTAGGCTATGGAGTTTGCTAGGGATGGAGGGATCATGTCACCTCTGTGAAAATGCGACTAATTTTTTTGAGATTTGGGAGGGAGGGAGGGTGGCCAAAATCAAGGCCTAACTCCTATGGCATACCTGTGAAGATACTACTAATTTCTTTTAGATAAGCTTTGTCCAACCTTTTATGAAAATAAGTTTATATTATGCTTGCATTTGGGTATCAGACAGTTGCTGGCACCTCTCCAATTATCTGATGTCAACAGTAGATGGTTGGGGTGTGTTCTTCTTGCCCTCAAAGTCTATAAAAAATCATACCATGAGCAGTGGAATGTGATGCCCCAACCATCTGATGTTGACATTGGACAGCTGCTGAGGTGATAGCAGACTGTTTGAACCCGAGGAAGTGAGGAAGAGGTTTTCCTTTCCCAAAACTAAGTACTAACTCTCATCCCATCTCTGTAGAAATACTACTTGTTTCTTCTAGACAAGGTTTGTTCTACCTTTTACTGAAATAAGTTTTTGAAATGTATATTATTTTAGCATTTGGGTATCAAACAGTTGCTGGTGCCTCCCCAACTGTCTGCTGTCAACAGTGGACGATTGGGGTGTGTTGTTCCTCCCCCTAAGTCCATCAAATATCTAAACAGACCTTGAGCATGGAAATGAGGCAGCCTAACCATCTGATGTTGTCATTAGACAGTTGCAGAGGTGGTAGCAAACTGCTAGGCACCCAAATGCTGATATAATATGCAGACCCATAAGTTTTCTTCTTTTGGAAAATAGATCCCACTCATTTCTCAAGCCCATCATTTCCCCTTATCAATAGGTGGGCACCTCTTAAAAAGAAAGGGGTGAATAACTCTTAAAACAAGGCTAGCAAATTTTTTGAAGCAACTAGAAGCACACCCCTATCTCTAGGGTTTATAAAATTGCTCCAAAAGATGATTTTTTTCTGAGTAGACTTCCCATTATTAAATACTCTTAAAACAAGGCTAGCAAATTTTTTAAAGCAACTAGAAGTACACCCCTATCTCTAGAGTTTATAAATTTGCTCCAAAAGATGATTTTTTTGTGAGTACACTTCCCATTATTAAATATTTCTAAGATGTTATTCATTTACTGCTTAAAGTGTTTGAATGAGATCAGCTTTGTGGTTTCACAAAACTGTCCTGTAGTTAACTAGAAATTTTTTTGTATATGTTGCTCGATCTCCCATTCTCTAAATATCTACACTTCTTGTTTCAAATTTCTTCCACAAATCTATTTATTGGTTGTCATCTGTGAGTTTCTCCCATTCTCTAAATATCTACACTACCTGTTTCAAATTTCTTCCACAAATCTATTTATTAGTTGTCATCTGTGAGTTTCCTACTTGCATTCCTACTCATTTCTGTCTTGGTTATGGACGTAGTTGATTTAGACCTCGACATACTGATGCAGGAAGGAAAGGTGGGATATTAAGTTCACCCTTTTCCTGAACTTTAAACAAGTAAAATGGTAAATAATGCAGAAAACATATGGCTGCAAATCAAGCCAACCTTTTATATCCCTATGAGTAAAAGTCATTCCAATAACATAAGTCGACCAAAATTTGACATCTAACCTTTTATATCCCTATGAAACCGTAAAAAATTAACTTGAGATCCAAGTGAACAGTATAATGTTGACAATAACCATGAATAGTGCAATATGAATATTAACCAGTGATAGTAAATAAAAAATATAAAAAAAACCTAAAATCCCTAAAAACTTTCAAACCCTATAATTATCAAATTAAAACCAAAATATACATCTTTTGAAATTGACTAAAAATAAAAAATTAAAATAATTTTAGTCCTGCATCACATACCCTTGAGCCCTATAACTCTAATCGTACTATGACGACTCACAAGAAAAATAGTACAATGTCATTGTGGCCTCACTCAGCCCCTGGATACAGTACAGTGGTATAACCTCTTGCAAATGAAAGCACTTGTTTTTTGATAGCCAAAATTCTACTCAGATGTATAAGAAATCACTACATGCTAAGTGTTCAGACTATTCGATGCCTTTAATGAGTTCTAGTTTTTGCGCTACGAGTGTTTTCTTTGGTCGTTGTCTCTCTGCTGCAGTTATGTTCTGATGCAGTTGCAATTCATTTTTTGTTTCTTGCAGTTGAGTGAACAACCTGCATTTATTGAGCTCTTAGAGCAATATGCGATGCAAGGTTACAGGTATTATCTTACTCACTGTGATAGAATTAGTCTATAAACATAATCATTGATTTGACCTCAGTTCTCCAATGTCAAAAATGGATAGCTGAGGTGAACTGTTCCTCTATTCAAAATCGATTGTAATCTGTTGAATGACTTTGATTGGAGGATTGGTTCACCTGAACGTTGTTGTCATTAGATGGTTTGGCGACATGAACCATGCACACAGCATGGTTAATGCTATCATAGTGAACGTTTCCTTTTCTTATTCTCACTGCTCACGCTTCTTGTAAAAGTATGGGTTTGTTGATAGCATAAACATTCCTTATTTTTTGCAGCAAGACAGAAGAACTGCATGCTTTAGTTCTTAGTGATCTTTACTATCATCTACAAGGAGAGATCGAAGGTCGTCAGGTTACTTATGGTCCTTTCAAGGAACTCATGCAGTATCTTCTGGAAATAAAATTTTTGCAGACCAACACCCATAAGGCCTCTCTAGATTTTCATTCACCTGTAAATAATGCTTATATGTTCCTTGATCCTATGCACGTACAAGAAGATATGGGATTAGAGTACTGGGACCATTCAGATTGGAAGGCATCCAAATCAATTGCAGAGAGTATGTTGCAACACATGCATAAAGCAAATATGGTCGTTTTTCTTGCAAATTCCCAGAAGATTGTTCTAAAAGCATTAACGGGAGTGTTCTTGGTATACGAGAGAAGTGTGAGTCTTACCTCTTTGTACCGTTTTGTGCCCATTCTTTTCAAACAAGCATTTAATGGATGTTTGTCAAACTCTTTTGTTTTTTAATCTTGTAAGCATCTGATATTTCCATGTACCACATGGCCCTAACAATCTCATTGGTGGTCATGCGGAAGCTTTAAAATATGGTTTTTCATTGGTTTTTTCTATGTTTATGTAGTCCAAATTTTTTTTCATTGTTTCTGCTCTCTGTGCAGTTGATGGAGAAAAAACCAATATCTGATGCTGGAGTGATTTCTGAAGCATCCCTGGAGTCCTCTCTGAATTGCGTTTGTGAATGTATGCATGAATTGGTAGAACCCCTACACCCAGCAACGAGTAATTCTGAATTTAAACTGAACTTCTTGGCAGCACAGGTAGAATTACTATTCAACCTTGCTGAATGCTTTTATAGACGAGTTTCGCTGAATACTAAAAGGAAGCAATTCTTGTCAGTTTGTGTACTGGTCATGAAAAAAGCCAGTGTGATCCTAAAACTTTTATTGGATATTGGACCCTATACGTCCGGACATGATAATAGCATAAAGATGCTCCTTTCTCTTCTTTTGGTATCGGCAGAGTTTGTTTTGTCAATATCAGAAAACTCAGTTTCAGACAGAAAGGATGTTGATCATGCATCTGCAGACATATGTCTCGTGACTTTGGCACTCCTGCCGGTGCTCTGCAGTTGCATTGAGAATTCTCAATTCTGCAGTATTTCTGTGGCTCTAACTGATCTTATACTGAGAAGCTTCCTGGCTTCAAGTACTTGGGTTCCTGTTCTACAAAAGCACCTTCCAGTACTATCTCTCGTTCGTTTACTCCAGCTAGATAAAGCTTTTGTCTCCATAACCGTAATCTTGAATTTTGTACTGACACTTGCACGTATAAAAGAGGGTGCTGAGATGCTTCATTCAGGAAATTTCTTGTTGTGCCTTAAGTCTTTGTTTGAGCGCTTCTTGAATGAAAAGGCTAATACCCATTATCCCGAGGATAACAGTCTCCCTGGGCAGATATGTAGTCTTGGCATGGCAATTGTCACTGCAATGATTAATTCAATAGGTGATGATCCTTCTCGCATCTCTGCGATGGGGGATACAATGTTGTACTTCTTCTCAGAGAAGGCATATGTGATTTATTCACTATCTGCTCCAAACATTCCTGAAGATGACTGTCGCAACAAGAAGGCCCGTTTGAGGAAGACTCAAACCTCTTTGACAATGCTTAGGGAGACAGAGCACGCTCTTGCCTTAACCTGTAGGCTTGCTAGGAATAATGGCACATGGGTTAAGGCCATGAAAGGTATGGACTCCCAACTAAGAGAGAGAAGCATACATCTCTTGGCTTTTATTAGCAAGGGACCACAGCGCATTAGAGGATTCTCAGATGAGAGTATGCCTTTCGTCTGCCCTCCCATCCTCAAAGAAGAGTTGCAATTATGTGAGAGGCCCCCTTTTATTAACAGCAAGCATGGATGGTTTTCACATTTGGCCTGGGCTTGTATATCCAAAAGTAAGATGATAGAAATAAAGGACTCTAAAACTGCCACTCGAAGCATGCAACAAACATATTATTCCAATGTAGTGGCTGTACAATTGTACAGAATTGCTTCTCTTCTTCTGAATTTTCTGTCTTTTCAAGCTAAAGTGGCGGCTAAACGGGCCGAGGAGGTTGGGATCATTGACCTAGCTCATTTCCCAGAGCTTCCAATGCCTGAGATTTTGTATGGTTTACAGGTGGGCTTGTACACATTCATACCTTCAATATAGCTTTTTTATGAGAAAGTATGGCATACAAAGGCAGGGTGTTGGCCATTCTTTCTCAGGCAGGGCACTGGAGACAAAACTGTAGTTCTAGGGTTGATGATGCTTTACTGGAACTAGTTCATTTCCATGTTTCGAGAACAGCTGTGGAATTAGTTCCCTCCTGTGGATTACAAGCGTATGCTTTCCCGTGTCTTATTACCTTGATGCTTGAACTCATTCTATAACCAACCATCTTGCAGGATCAGGCTGTCGCTATTGTCACGGAGCTATGTGGTGCTGACAAACCAAATCAACGTCTGCCTGAGGTTCAGAATGTATGTTTCTTGCTCTTGCAGATAATAGAAAAGGCCTTGTATCTGGAACTGTGTGTCTCACATATCTGTGGGCTCCAACGAGTATCTGGGCGTGATGAAGATTTTTCAAAGGAAATCAGGGCCCTGATTCGAGGTATGGGCCCACTATTTCGTTCAATTGTTTTGAAACATTATACATCTGTTAGTGGCTATGATTCCATGTCATAATGAGCATATGCATTTGTTCTCCTATTTTCAGTCACAGAGGATAACGCATTTCTAGAAGCGTCATTGAAGTCCCTGATGCAGATTGTGGCAATTGTCTACCCAGGGTTATTGCAGTCAGAGGGGATGCTGTAATGGGTTTTGTTTAAATGTGAAAGTGTTGTTCTTAGTCCTCGATGATTGGATTAGCTTCCAGAACCAAGAGGAACATGTAAGCATGAACAGTATTCTACAGTTGTCTACTGGAATTGTGAATTTCTGGTTATTTTCGTCTTTTTGATTGGTAAGTAGGTGCTTTGAACTGGCAACATAGTGTGTATACTGAGGTATCAGTAATAGGTCTCAAGGTAGAGCTCAAATTATTTGTTGGATTTTCTATTTGGTCATTGAGCCAATTCTGCATATTGTTCTGTAAGAAGTTGGTAATTTCTTATCAGATTTTTCACAAGTAAATTGAGACTCTTATTGGATGATATGGGCAATTCCAGGAAATTTACATAATGAATGTAGAATGGTGAACAATGGCCATTTTTCCCTGACATAGTATAGTGGAGCGAAGCATTCGAAGAAGCCTTCAATCCAATGCCCATGCCTGCAAACATGGTCCTATGAGTTGTTAGTGGGATATTTTCTTGCTAGCTTAATCAGAATCTGTTCAGATATTGATTTGTTGTAATCTACCTGGATTTTACCATCTGATGAAGTGGCAAAGAGCATATCTCCATCAGGATCTGCAGCCAAGCATGTAACCTTCGCATTCCCATTGACACCTACTTTAAGTGATCCAACTCTTAGAAACCGCTCTCTTAACCAGATCTCAATTACTCCACATTTTGTTCCTGTAAATATGAGCTCATCATTGACTGCAATGGAGTAGATGTCAAAGCCTGTCATTAATGATCCCACTGCTGATTTGGTGGACAGGGAGAACACCTGCAACGCCGATTTTTTAATGTCCATTCATCAGAACTGAGTTATGGTCAATAATTGTTATAATAAGAAAAAGGAAATGCAAGTAATGTACCTAAATCCACGTGATACTTATTATTCCTCACAAGGCATCGAATGACACTGATCATGCAAAGGGAGGTTTAATTTTTCTTATACTGATAATTAAGGGACGTTCCTGTTGTCTATTACAATTATGGTATCTTTGTTCAATGACATGTTTGTTTAATATTTTTTGAGATTGGCTGATACTTTATTCATTTGAGAGCACAATTGTATGTTTGGATCGACCCTAATGATAAAGCCAATGTTATTTGAAATTGACGTACCTTCCCTGCTACCCCATCAACTGAGGAACCACCTGCAAAAAGAAGGCCATCGTTAATGTGGAGAACGTGGATCGTCTGCTTTCCCAAAAGCTTTCTTGTACCCGAAAAGAATGTGCCTGATGTTCCTCTGCACAAATCTACTTCCTGTCCAGCCACATTTATATATCATCCTCAACAGATGAGAAATCCAACTAGAAAATTTGTAATTCTCTGGATTGCTTTTATGACCAACCCACCTACCAACCACATAGTGTCTGGAAAGCACAATGTACTTACCTGGATGCTGTAACCAGTGCAACCACAATAGAGTTTGTCGTCAGTCATGGCAATGGTCTTGACATGTTTATTGGAGTTTATATTTTTCGGAAATCCACTCCAGTTGTATACCTGCAACTTTTGCCAAACCATGAATTACTTGATAACAAGAATGTTCGAAAATATATTCTTTTCTATATGATGTAGAGAAAAGTTTGACCTTAGTGCCAGTCCCCTGAGAAATGAAGCATGCCATTTCACCGTTAACTGTGAGGCTGCACACTGCTTCTTTCACTTCATAAACCTGAATGCAGTGAATCTCTTCTGGCCCAATTCCCCAAACCTGTAAGTAGGGAAACTATCAGAAACATTATGCAGCACTTCAGAGTTATAGGGATTTCCCAGATGAACTGTTTTAGCACTGTTAATTGCTTAAGCGAGCCCAGCCATGTAAAGAAGACACATCACCCTGATGGTTCTCGTTGTTTAGAATAAACTAATCAGATTACAGATCATGAAATTGATAATTTCCATTCATTATCGACAAACTGTGAGACCAACTTTGTTTTATGGGGTGCAATGCTGGGAGGTCAAGAAACAACATACCCATAGAATGAGTGTCGCTGAGATGAGAATGTTGAGATGGATGAGTGGCAAGACAAAGATAGAATTCAAAATGGATACATTCAGGATAATTTAGGTGTGACACCGATAGGCAATAAGATGAGAGAAAGTAGACTTAGATGGGCTGGTCATGTGTGGTGTAGATCCAGCACACACCTGTTGGGAGTTGCGAGTTAGTTAAAGTGGAAGGCTCAAGAAGGGCATGGGGTAGGCCCAAAAGGACATTACTAGAAGTAATGAGAAAAGATATGGGGACTTATGGTCTCACTGAGGGTATAGCCCTTAATAGAGCAGAATGGCGGACCAAGATTCGTGTAGCCGACCCCAATTAATTGGGAAAATACTTTGACGATGATGATGATCGACAAACTGTGCAGAACAACCCCTGGCTTGTTTAGGGGACTTCTACATAGTTCTTCTAATTGTTTTGGCCATTTTGAAATCTAATGATAGGCTGTCTTTATTTTTAAGTTGGTATATACTCCATCTTACTGATCCCAAAAAATTACAGTACCATTTTGTTGAAATCATTAGGATTTTAGAGAGCTGAAATATGACGATGTTATTGGATTTTGTAGACGTTAAGATATGATTTATATGCTCCATCTTGCTGATTCAAAAAATTAGAGTACCATTTATTGAAATCATTGGGATTTTAGACAGCTGAATATGACGATGTTATTTGATTTTGTAGACGTTAAGATATGATTGATTGAGTGCATTAAAGCTATTTTTCATTGATGAAACAGTGTTAAACTATATGGAGAGCAGAAGAAAATTGCTCACCCGAATTGTTTTGTCAAGGGAACCACTGTATAGCTTTTCCCCTGAAAGTGCAAGAGATAGGCTTGTGACAGGCTTTGTATGCTCTCGAGCTTCTTGTATCAACCTCAAAGTTCTCCTTCCTGTATCCCACACCTGAAGATGGAAAAGAGTTCTCAAAACTTTTTCAAGCCATCGAATAATTTAATCTGGGACTTCGAATCCTTTCCTCAAGTCTTAATGAAAAGAATACGGCTATGCTGATAATAGTTTTCCTTGGTTGTTACTAATTTCTAGATGAATGACAGATTCTCACCCTTTATCTATTACACTTTCATTTGATAGGTCAAACATAAACTTTGGATTTACTGGTGCATTGTTATATCTTATGCCTGGATTGATATGCTGATTGAAAGGATACCTTGATATGTCCATCAGAATGGCTGCTGAAAAGCCTTCCTTTTGAATGAAGCAAGGACAGAATTTCACTATTCGTACTTGCATCGGTCTCAGCTACTACAGCACATGACCAGAACTCTGTCTGCTACATGACAGAGTATTAGGACAAGAAAGTAATAAAAATCTGTCACATGGTTATAAGAGCATCTAAAAGATTTGTTTGACTTACAGCGTCCACACATGGCGAGTTTATCAGTGCTTTCAATGTGTCTCGTACCGCTATTGAAGATTTCTTGAGCTTCTTCAGTGGCTTGCATATACTTTTTGCATACATACCCACTTCTTTTAGAGCATCTGTAAGCTCGAAAACAAATCAAATTAATGCATATGTTTACTTATTTGTCTTTCTGAACACATTTGGAACAAAATAATAATGTAGAATAGGCATGAATGTGCATTTTACCGGGATCATTAACAAAGCCCTTCAAAGAAAGGGCAGCAAGAATCTGCTCCTCTTGATTTTTCGATGATAGGAGGACATTAATAAACTGGTCAAGCAAACAGCGTTGAGCAACATCTCTTACTCCAGTATCAGGTAGAACAAGAAGCATGTGGGATAGCCATGTGGCAATAACTAAACAGGATTTCGCTAGCTCGAGTGAGTCACTCTTGAGACATTCTTCCAGTGCTTTAAAAATAGATCCATGTTCGTGATTGGCAAGGACAAATGCTACTCGTTTCTCCCAGTTCCTTGAAGCCTTCTCTTCCACTTCCTGCACGCATCAATTCACACTTACAAAGGGAAGGATGAATGGGAAGAAAATGATTATAAGGTAAGTACTGAGCGGAGCACCATTGTTTCTGGAGACTCATTATCCATTTTCCGTATTCTCTCCGCCTTCATGAGGACATTATACTGCCGATCCACCCCTGCTGCCTTGAGCAATAACGCCTCTGTGAGAGACTTTCCTGAGGGAGTTAAGCGTCCAGTAAGGGACAACAGCATGTCGACAGCTGTGATGCGATAAATTGGGAACTCTTCAGTCCGAAGTGCTTCAATTAGAGCCTCTATGGCTTCCTCTCTATAAATGCTCATTTTCCGAGGTTCAACCTGCATGTGCCATGACCGTGATAGTTGGGAACGGTTTTTCCCATTGTTAAACAGATGAAATATATTTTAGGGAAGATACCAGGATGGATATGTTTTTGGGAAGATACCAATACAATAACTGACACTCTTAAAAATTCATGCAGGTGGCCCAGAAACTTGATATATCAAAACAGAAACTGGGGTCTGTCAAAAATTCGAATGAGAAATTTGATATATCAAAACAGAAACTTGGATTTGTCAAAAATTCAAATGACTATTGTTTCCTTATTAAAACATGATATTGTAATATTTTAAGTACAAGATTGGATTCTATGTCATTCTGGAAAATATTTAAGTTAGTCCAAGTACTGTACTACCATTTAAAGTTCCTGGCCAATTGCATGATCTATGCAGGTGTTAGGGGTAGTAGCGTAATAGTTCTAGCTGTTTGAGAAGCTGATAAGCATACCAAAAGATCCAGCTGAAGAAGAATATTGGCAATTAATGGTCTTTGTTCCAATGGAGCCATCTGAAGATACACTAGAAATGCGTGCATTGTACTGAATGCTCCTTCATCTTTGATTATCTGCAATACCTGATTGCAGAATGTTCTCCTGAGGGAACACAAAGGATTAAAGTTTGATGAATCAAGATATTCTATCTTAAGAAGAAAGGCAAATTATTTCATGAGGTCATTTTGGATTTAGAAAGTGGCTGAGAATATATGAAAATGGAACCCATATATATATATATATATATATATATATATATTAGTAGAGAGAGAGTACCACTTACCTCCTACTCTCCACTACTCTACTTGTCTACTCTTTTAGTTCTATTCTACTCACTTGTGTCTACTCTCTCTCTCTCTCTCTCTCTCTCTCTCTCTCTCTCTCTATTTCTCGAAGGAGATGGGTGAAGCCTCTTTTTTCATGGATGGTTCTTGATCTTTGTTTAGCAAAATCCAATCCCTTTCCCTCCGCTCTCTCGACACTGTTTTAGTTAACTATATAATCTTTCTATCCCTTCTTGCTTTTATCTGCCCTTTCTCTCTTCTCAAAGCCTCTTTTTCATCCATGTCTATTTAGATGCCTGGTTCTTGCTTTCTTGGCAGAGAAGTGCAAGCCCATGTGGAGATTTCTGATGTTATTTCAGAAAAAAAGCATATCCAGGGATGGCTTAGTTGTGGTTCAGAATAGAGATGCACGCATGGAAGTTTCTTCCTTACAATGAAAATATGAACATCTGGAAGCTTCTTGGTTCGATCATGACAAGCAGATTTCGAATCTATGCAAGTTCTTTTGCTTCAATCTGAACTTTGAACCTCTGCAGGCTTCTTGGTACAGTCTTTCAGGTAGCAATAACCTTTAGTGGTTTTATATCTCTATTCTTAAACCATTGCATTGATCCATGAGAGGAATGTGCGAAAATTGAGATCCACTTTGGGGTTTTCCTCGATTTACCCACCACAAAAAGTGTGTGTTCTAATAGAAAAATCCTAGCCACACAAGAATCATTGTTTAAAACACGGCCGCATCAGTGCATATGTGGCTGCATTTGAAGTGCATCGCATAGGGGTGCATATGCATTTTGGGGGGATGCACCCACATATGCACTACATCCTACCGCATAGCACATAGTGCATATTGACATCATAGCTTGTGGGTGAAAATAGTGCTCACGAGAATGGGTATTTTGGTCATTTTCCTCTCCGAAAAGGGGGGGGGGGGAAAGGGTCTGGGGGGCTATTGAAACCCCCCGCCCCCTCCCCAAACACAAAAAACAACTACATTTGTGGCTGTTTTGGTACAAATGAAGAGAAAAAATTGGGTAGAATTTGTTTTTGTAAAAAATTGTCAATTTGCTCTTGAGGTTGGTTGGGTTGTCGATAGGGATTAGCGTAGGCGTTATTTTGAAGAAGTTTGAGCATAGATTCGTCAACATATTGAGGTTTCAAGGCCGGAGTCTGCAATTGCGATTATAGTTTTTGAATGTTTATGAATTATGATAATATGATGTCTTCTAATTTCTTTTATAAAGTTACTTTAAATATCTAGTTTCTACTTTCTAATGTTTTCTAACATGGGATTTAGAGTCTCTGCTGATAAAATTGTAGTTAATGAATAAATAAATCCCTATTATCAGATAAATCACCTCCATATTTTTTTAATGCATTAACCTATTTTTTGATATTTTTTGGAATTCTTTATATTATTGATTGCATCGGGGTGATGCACCCGCATGTAGACCACATCGAATCGTAATCGCCACAACGGTCCCCCTACCGTATCCCGCATTTTAAAACACTGACAAGAATGTTTGCAAGTCGAAGATTGTGAAGAATGAGCTGGGATATCGTGAGAGATGAAGGTGAAACCATTAGAGAGATGCAATCACGTTGGTTTAGAAATACTAATATGTGTAGTGCTGGAGGGAGAGAGTGAGAGGGCTGCTGGAAGGACGGTGGAGATGGAGGTGGCAAAGAGACAAATAGAGAAATGGGGTTCAAAGTTAATGGGAAATGCAAGCTCCGTGAATAGATAGAGAGAGATGGAGGGAAACAGAGAGGGGGGCTGGAGAATGGTGGGATTTAGGGGTACCTTTGTTAAGACTATGTATTGAATGCATGCTTTAGTCATTTTTATTTTTCCTTTTGATCTATGATGTCATAATTATCATAGTCAAGGTCCTACTTGTAAAAATATAAGTACTTAATTAAAGAAACATCCTCCTAGTTAGAATTCCAAGGGGCTTTTCGTGCAATTCTCTGTCCCTTGTTCTCTCTCTCTCTCTCCATGCCAAGCGTTTCTATCATGGTATCAAAGTTTGTTCGAAAACCCTAGATCTCAAGGCCCTGCAAGGATCTTCCCACAACATCTTCTTCTATCTTCTCTCAACAAATAACAATCATATTCTCCAACCTTCTTGCAAGCAAAATAACAGCCATCCTTTTCCACACAAACCTTAACACAAGGTTCTATATATCCTCTGTCTTTTCCTTCTTAAAACCGTAATTTTCTCTCTAGGCACATTCTTTTTTTTATTTCCTCTAATTTTCCTCTTCATTCCCTCCTCTTAAAACCCTTATCTTCTCTCTACATGCTTACTTTCATTCAACTTTCTAATTTTCTATGTCAAAATCCTATTCTCTTTTAAGGTTTGCTGTTCTTCTTCATACATAATCTTATAAACGCAATCACAAAACCGTACCAAAATCTCAAAATCTCTTTCCTTAAAAACCCTAATTTTCTATACTCTCTCTCGAAGGTATTATGTGCCAAGTTTTCTCTCTAGAGCAACACTCGCTTAATTTTTTTCTCTCTAGGACATCACAGACCTAACTGTCCAGCAATTTTTCTGTCATCCTCTTGACAAAATCTCAAAATTTCTCCCTCCTTTTTTTGTACTCTCTCTGAAGCATTAAATGCTCAAATTTCTTCCCCTAGGGCACAATGTGCTCACTTTTCTTTCTATGGAGGCATTATGCACTAATATTCTAACAACCTTTTTCTCTTTCTTCTCGACTGCTAGCTAACCCATTTTCTATGGGGACTACAAGGTTGATTTCATCAAATTTCATAACATGGAAAGCCAATATCGAACCATTTGTTTGTCATCAGAAACTAATGTGACATTTAAATGGTTCTTAAAACCTCCTAAATTCCTTACAAAACATGAGATTGATCATCATCATCATCATCATCATCATCCAAGCCTTATCCCAACGCTTCACTATGAATCATGCGCGGTACATTGATAGATGTAACTTTGATCCATGGCTCATGTTTTATAAGAATTTCTTCGCACCATGAGGTGATATTCATAGGCAAGAAAACATGGTGCCTTGATCTACTTATTGGGCTTTATATCTCACCCCTTTGACTTTCTTCTGTGTAGACTGACAGTTCGCAGGTTGAGGACGGGCAGCTTGGTGACCGCGGTCGGCTGGTAGAGCCTCGTATTTTCTTGAGGGAGCATTTCTTTTGATTGTATGTTTTAGATGGCAGTTGGCCATATAGTGGTTTTTGTTTTGAAGATATGTATAGTTGTTGGACCTTTGCACCACATCTCTTCTCACTACTTCCATCCATGTCCTTTTAGGCCTTCCCCTTGCCCTTTTAGAGCCTTCCACTCGAACAAAATTGCCCCTCCTAACTAGTGCTATATTAGGTGTATGCTGCACATCACCTAAGTGTACTTTCTCTCATCTTATCACTTAATGGAGCCACCCCTAACATCCTCATCTCAGCTACACCGATCTTATGGATATATTGTTTCTTGATCGCCCAACATTCAGTCCCATAAAACATGGTTGTTCTTACGCTGTCCTATAAAACTTCCCTTCAATTTTATTGGTATTGCAGCGATCATGTAAAACTCCAGATGCACATCTCCACTTTGCCTACCTAGCTCTAATTCTGCGCCCAATATGTTCATCAATCTCTCCATTCTCTTGGATAATTGACGCAAGATATAAAAAATAATCTCTTGTAGGTATTTCTTGGCAATCAGTCTTAACTACTTCTTCGTTTCTACTCCATATTATTGCTAAACTTCAATGAAAATGAGATTGATGAGACTGGGAAAACGAAGGAAGTCTCCTTCACAAACCCTTCATATATAAAATGACTTGCTACTGATCTACAACTCCTTGGATGGATCAGTGCAATTCTCTATGAAGAAATTCTCATGGAAGTTGTTGGATTGCCGATAGTTGCTGAATTATAGAAAGCTTTAATCAATCCACCTTGCAGGAGTTAGAGGCATGTGTGATGCACTTGAAGCTTCCCTTCAGCAATGCAAGCAAGAAAAGTTGATGATCATCAAATATTGTAATAGAATTAAAGGTCTTTGTGATCAGCTTGCCATGATCCAAGATTCTGTCAGTGATAAGGACAAGGTATACTATGTCCTTGATGGCCCAAGGGATGAGTACAAAATTTTCGTCATCTTAGTCACTGCTAATAATCCTTTATTTCCCACATTTTAAAAGTTGCACCCATTTCAACTACAACATGAGTCCCTCTGCCATAGTCAACTTACATCGAAACACGCCCAAAATCAAGATTCTCATGTTGGTGATGATGGCCAACACCTCTGCAAATTTAATGGTGGACATGGATAGGGCGGTGGCAATAGAGTGGAATAGCAGGTGGATTTCGTCAATTTCCACCTAACCAAGGGCGTGGCCTTCTTCCTATGTCTAATTACTATCTATAAAATGCAAATCTAGTGTATATCCATGGTGACATGTTGAATTTGTAGTCATCGAAATCATACTATCACTACAGTCAGGAGGGACAAAGTTCGAATATTAATGAAGACAAAGTAGCTGCCCTAAACATTTCAATAGAAGCCATGACATTGCCTTCATCAATGATCAAGCATGGATTGTCGACAATGGGTTAGCTAACCATGTTACTCGTGATCCTGGTATATTTCTCTTGTGACACTTATTTTGCTAGTTGTTTTGTAATAACTAGAGATGAGTCCTCACTCCCTAGTACACATGTAGGAAATGTTCTTGTAAACTGTTTCATAGTTTCTGTTCTTTTGAATAATGCAGTTTTAGTCCCCTAAAATCAAGAGTCTCATTTTTGTTTCCAATTGAGACAAGAAAATAAGTCGGACTTTGTTTCTACAGTGTCCTCTATTTTTTTGAAGGATTCATTGTCTGGGACAGTGTTCGCTGAGGGAATTCGTCCTTGTCGTTTATAGGTCTTGAATAATGAATCGAGGAATCTCCCATTATTAGTCTCTACATTTCAAATAAGTGAGGGTGTAAATATTTGGCATCACCATTTAGGTCACGACAATCTTGAGTTGGTCAGGTCAGGAGGCTAATTCCATCGTTATCTAAGGGTGAAAATTTATCTTTTTTTTATGCTTGTCAATCGGGTCAACTGTCCCAATCCCTTTTTTAATTCTAATAAAAGAGCTTCCTTGCCTCTTGAAGTACTTCATTTTGTTGTGTGAGGGGCTGCACCGGTTGCTTCTTCTTCTATACCAATATTAGGTGATCTTTGTGGGTGATTTTTCATGGTATACTTGGATTTATTTCCTTTAGGAAAAATCTCAAGTATTCGAACATTTATACAATTAAATTTTTTTCTTGAGAACCATTTTGTAAGTCAATTTTGTTCTTTTGCAATGAAGGGGGACTTGAGTTCCAATCTTTATATTTAAGAACTACTTAAAAAATAATAGGATAGAGTATCAAATTTTGTGTCTAAATACTCCACAACAAAACAAAGTAGTGGAATGAAAGTGTCACCATATTGGTGAGGTTTCGTTTCCTTGATGTTTGCTAGTGGGGTTCCAAAATTGCTATGGACGGAAACTTTTCACATGCTGTTTATGTCATAAATCGATTCTCATTAATGTTTTGAATGTCTAAACTCTGTATTATCTATCTTACTGTTAAGTATGCAGATTATTTGGTTTTTTTATCTTTTGGATGTTACACCATGTTCATATTGATCAGAGTCAATAGAAGAAACTTTCTCATAAAGCGGAAGTGTGTATTTTTGTTGGATATGAAGACAGTAATGAAGGCTATCATTGTTAGAGCCCTAGATTTAAATGTGTTCCTATCTCAAAAAAATGTCACCTTTGATGAAATGAGGATGTGCAATCCACTTGGAACCATTTTCGGCAAGATGAAAATGAGGCCAGCAAGTGCATAGTTTGATTTAATTAGCACGATTCTGTAACTCAAAATGAAGAAGTTGTTCTACCTGGACGCACTCTCGGTGATACTCTTCAGCCGAGAATTGTTGATGAGGATGTTCCTCATCACCCTGCGAAGATTGTGAATATCTTTATTATGAGGAACTTCGATCTGAGCAACAATATGATGTTGCTCATCATCACCCTGGCGAAGATTGTGAATATCTGTATTATGAGGAACCTCTATCTGAGCAACAATATGATGTTGCTTCCAAGGAGTTGATTGTTTATCATAGAGGAAACCAAGGGGAACAGATTGGTTCCACTCTGTGTATCAGAAGGACAACATTGTAATGTGGGTGTCGAATTAGAGAGACAAGAAGCTCGTAGGATCAAACATTCCTTTTATCGCATCCCAACATGACTTTGACTCGTTTATCAGATGTGGGAACTCATTCTGTACCCACACTTGGCTTCTGTGGTGAGAAATTTTCCCACTCTGTAGAGCTTAGTCCCTCTTCCTTCACCAGCTCTCATTCTTATGCCCCAGTAACTTACCCATTAGCTACTGGAACGTTAATTTTCAGGATCATCAATTAATTTTCCTTCACCAGATCTCATCCTAAAAATTAACGAAGCATGGCAGGTATGCCCCAGTAACTTACCCACCCTCGTTATCAAAAACAAAAAAAAACCTTGCCCACCCTCGTTATCACATTGTCCCTGTAGTAAATCATGTATGCCAATTTATGCATGCTCCAACAATGTTCACTTGGAAGCGTTAAAACATACAATCTGATACATCACAGGTACCATTAATCAAGGCATCACATGTCACACAAATCGTATAGAAGATGTATGTGTTTCTTCAATCATTGGATACTTAGATGCCGATTAGACAGGAGATCCTAACTCACACAGGTCAATTTCAGGATATTGTGTTTATTTAGGAAGAAAATTGTTATCTTTAAGGAGCAAGAAGCAAACTCTTGGGCAAGATCGAGTACAAAAGCTGAATACAGAGGACTGGTTGGTGTTGTAGCAAAAATCTTGGATTCAACACCTGATTATGTCACTTGGGTATACGGGGCAATGCTCAACAATTTATTGTGATAAATGGAGTGCATTAACGATGACGGCTAATTCCATCTTTCATGATCACACTAAACTCATTGACGTCAATTATCATTATGTGTGCGAGAATATAGAAGAAGGGGCAAATCATTGGGACTGAGAATCAAAGTGCTGTTATCTTTACCAAAGGATTCACAAGTGAAAGGTATCATTTTTATATGACAAATTCTACATTCCAACACAATGTACAATTTGAGGGGGCATGTTCAGAATATGTATTGGATGCATGTTGTAGTCATTTTATACTTTGTTTTTTACCATGATCTCATAAATATCATAGTCAAGGGCATACTTCTAAAATG